GAGTGATATTGCCAGGGATCGGAGAGTTTGGGGGTTTGCCAGACATCGGCCGTATCTTAATGCCCGCGGAATTGCCGCCATAAATTGCGATGATTGAAGGCAAAGGCTGACATTGTCGGGCCGATGCATGCGCCGCTATCTCGGGCGGTATCGAATTGTGGAGTAGCCATGCATCCGGCAATAACTGATATTCGGCAGCGCAGGTGGTTCGACTAGAGGCTTGGCATTGGAACCGTGCTTCGACAATAAAGTGTGGGTTAATCTCACCAACCAACATGGGACTCGGTGAGCTCCCAGGGCCCAAGCGTACGATCCGATTGCTTTTACTTGCAGATATAGATCCCCTAATGCGGACAGAAGTTCCTGAATCCGTAACGTCCCGTATGACGTCACGTCACGTGCCGTCACGTGTCGTTACAAGCCAGGCCGGACAGACCATGGCTCACGTCTGGCAACGGCTGAGATCATTATTATGTCATCCAAACGCTTACGGTTTTCATCAGACTAGACTGCAAAACTCTCACTATTCTCACCCAGCCGAGCTTAGTGTCACATTCGTCAATGCTGCGCAAGGTGTGGTGAATTTCGCTGCAAATCCCACATGACGCAACCTTCAGCCATCCAACACGCAAGAACTTGCAGCAGATGGCCAGCTCTGCTTGTATAAGCATCGTGCCCCCCTGTCTTACAGCAAGATACCTGTGCTAATGTGAACACAGCTGCAGCATATGGGGCTGGTTTCCACTAGCTCGAGGATTTTATGTCCCTACTTTACATGTTCCCATGACGAACCATGCCTCACTATAAGTGACTTTCGTTGGATGGACAAGTTTATTAAGAGAGAATGAGGCTGCTGAAGATTGCTTTTCCGTAGTAACTTTTGATATACGAGACGTGTATTTCTATAGAATTATGAAATATGACAGGTTAGGCAAACGAGGGCGATGAAAAATGTCCACTGAAAGGCTTTCCCCATGGCTCAATCGATCTTCTCCTAGTTCAAAAGTTGTCTGGTTTACCGTTCTCACGCCAGCACATCTGCGAATTTTAACATCAGCGTGGGCCCAATGACATAGCGATGCATTAAAGTGACATCGAAACTTTGCCTGCACCTTAGGCCACAGGTCTGTGGCAGTGCCGGGCGAAGTACAAAGCGCAGAGGCGATGAACTTATTAATGTTTTGCGTTTGCTGTTGTTGAAAAGGTCCTGTTTGAAATAATGCTTCCTTTTTCTGAAAAAAATGCGGTGAAGAACGCAGGAGGGGGTCTAAATTTTGCTTGCAATACAGGGTTTGGGGCGGGGAGGGGGTTGCGGCGCTGGGGGGCTAGCTCATTCTTTCCGCACCTCACCTTGCCGTAACACCTCGGCATGCATTGTACCGATTCCGGCGGGCGAGGTTTCAAGCAGATGATTGTTATCTAAGCTGGCTTCATTGAGGCCAACATTTCAAACACACATGTGGGACATTCATTACGGTAAAGAGCTTAAGGAGAGTGTGCTACCCGTTTTGTGTTCTTGACTTATTGCTAGATCATGCAGGTTCAATTTGATTGGTGATCCCAGTTTTCTTTAAATCCTTCTGAATAGCTCATAGTTCCTTTTTGAAGACGTCACTCCGTTCTGAGATATCTTATTGGACTCTATGCTCATCATTATGAAAGTAGTGCTTTTTTTTTGTTTCCCTTGCCTTTCACAGCGTATGTGTTCCGTAATGCCTACAATACGCCGACTGATCCAAACGCTGGTACAATAAATGCTACGAAGGCCTGGAACACTTAATTTAATGAAAAATATATACACATATTAGTCTATTATCGCGCGAATTCAGACATATGACACTATGGATTTGATTTTTGCTCTGGTGTTTAGCGCAGCGACTTTTTTCGACCCGCACTTGGTCTCGGGAAACGCATGACACGGCCTATAGTGAAGCGTTAGTCACGCGACGCAAACCAATACGTTTTCTGTAAATGACCTTTGCCGCCCGCTGCGCCAATCACAAACGTTCAGTTGAACTGGCGTCATTCATACCAGTAGGAATGTCAATTTAAGATACAAAGACCCGCAACGTGCGGCCAAAACAGCTCAAAAGTTGCATCTTTGGTCCGTGACAGCCGATAACGGTTCTCAGCGGATTATGCCGTATTTAACTGCGGCGGGCAAAAGCCACATTATGAGGCTGCTAATAAAGAAAGAAGTGTAGTGCTGTAGCATAACGTTAAAAGCGCCTCACTTAAATTTATGGGTGATGCAGTCGCAATACCCAGTGTTATCAGCGTACATAACTAGTCCTGAGGTTTCATTGGAGTATGTTTTTGTATCACGCCCGAAAGGTGGGACACCCATTTTAGTAAACGGGAGCTTTTTTATTCTCACTGGTTTTGCTTTTCATTTACGATATTTTTACATTTCGACGCTACAAATAAACTCCCAAGGTTTTTCTGGAAGGTAGTAATCATCCTCGTAAGTCAAAGTCATACTTAAAAGCTAAATCTATACTTGCCAGTCCGAATCATATATGCAAGCAAGCAATTTTTGGATAAGCGGTCGACGCAAAATCTTAAAAAATGTAACTTACAGTTATAGAGCTATACTAAAGCGTTGCATCTCCGAATTGGTGCGTCTCACCTACAGCATCTGGTCTCTGACTACCCCGGCGAAATATCTTACCAGCAAGCAGCTGTTCGAAATCACTCAGATTAAAATTCGAGCTTTTATCTCATATATCTTCCACCAGACGGGCTCCCCACCTCCTTCAATCGCCTAAGCAGTATTATTATGGATTTTTGATCGAAAACGTGATCGGTAATAGGGTACCATCCGTTATATAACCACCATGTCAGTGAGTTCAGCACCGCGACCAATGTGTGCTTTGCTTATTCAAAGGGCGGTGGCTTTTTTGCAATTACAGTGTCAGCCTAGCAACATTGCACGCCCGTTTTAGATGCCTACTGCATATATAAAAGCACATCAGGTAGATGAATAGGTCCCGTAACTTAAATAAATTTGTAGCGCAAATTTATTTCAGTTATCCAATGAATTTATATCCCATTGAAGGCGGTAACATCATTGCCATTGATCACTGGCCAGGCGACGGTGGGTATTCGCGATTTGTGTTCGACGTGTGCTGATTACAATGACTTCAACTGTCGCGTTCTTTCATAATTTTCGCACGAGCGCCTCGACAGTTGACAACTCTGACTAAGCCAGTGCTGGGCGCTTCTGTTGCAGTAGTGGCGCATTTCTGATGTACATTTCTGCAAAAGGCACCCAGATAACCGCAAATCCCATTTCTGTGAGGCTGCGGGAGCATCTGGCGCGCAGGGCCTGCCGCGGTTGGCCGCGGTCGGACCTTGGGTCAGCAGGCGCCCGCCAATGGCCGGCGGCGGTAGATCACGTGACCGAGCGTTGAGGCTGAGACGGCTCGGGGCGCGCAGATGAAGGATCGGGGCAGCCGTCGCTGAAGGAGTCTCGTGGCCCGCGCTGCACCGCAAATACAAGATGAAGAAACACAGGCTCTACATTTACAGGCTTTACAATTATGGGCACTGAATTAGCGGTGCCACCGCTAATTCAGTGCCCATAATTGACATCGGCGTGGTTTGTTTTGATTTGGTTCACGATCCCCGCAGCGAGGACATCGCGGTTGATCCTCCCACATAACAGGTGTCGGTGAGTTGCGTATATGTGTGCCCTATTCTCAGGCGGCATAGCGTCACTTCATCCCGCCTCATCTTACGACAGCTGGACGCCCATGATCCCAACCGAGGCTTTGCCTCTCTCAGTTTATTGCCAGACCGCTTGCAGAAGTGCCCCAGATAAGTTTCAGTTGTAGGATATAAAAGACCGATGGGAGAAAATTTTGGTTTGGTACAGCAAGGAAAGACATACACTTCATACTAATCTCGCCCCACCCCATATTTACGCATGTACGTGCCACCTTAATTCGCCTCTGTTTCACTAGGGATGTGCTGCGATGGCATAACCGCTCGGCGATCAATGAAATCGGTTACAGATTAGCGGAAATCTGATCTATTTCCTCCGTAATATTTTCCTTCACATCAATCCTTGTCACCTCCTTCATCGCACGTTGCCATGCTTTGGTATCTAGCACCTGATAAACGGTTGGTGCCAGGTAAACGGTACTACGGGCAAGGATTCACAGATTGCAGCGTAGAAGCCAATAACGTCTATGATAGCCCTACACGTTCTACATATTGACATCAACATAATATCATCGAGTGTGCAAAGGGCATGGCTAATCATTAGGTAGGTGTGGACCGTACAAATCTTCTTGCCTTCAAAATGTCGACCTTCAATATTGAAAGGTCATCTAAGTATGCATGCCTCCGAGATGGCTACGACTTAACCTGATATGAACCCACAGATAACGTCTGTAGATACTTAAAGGCGAATTGGAATGCGAAAACTGTGCAGGCTATGCCACATTGTTTGCGAGAAAAAGCCACCAAATTGCTGATGAGAAAAAGTCGCCAAATTTCGGCCGTCCAGCCGGGATAGCTTAATGGGGGCCATGTTGCACGCAGTGAATGGAGCGCAGTTTTGGACGGAAGGAGCACGAGTTACACGTTGGTCTCCACATGTGTGCAAATAACACCTGGCGTGGAGAACATTTCAATGTCATGTGCCTTATCAGCAATCGCAGCTATAAAAAAAATGGTGTTTTATGTCTGGTGCTCGGTTGTGTCCGGCAGGTAAAGGCGTTGATCCAGTGCCCTTTGGCCGATCGACGACGCGGCAACACGTCCTGCTGGGCCCCATCACGCGCGGCCCTGACCTGAGCAAGCAGGCCGCAGCTGCTCCGTCGCCAGCTCGGCGCGTGACCACGTGATCGTCACACCGCCTCGAGGTCGACGCTGCTGTTGGGGTGGGACTGAGTGAAAAACTCCGGATACGTCACCTGCGATGCTGCTATGAGCGCAGCTAGTTGAGTCACCTGACTTTCGAAGCAGGAATGGCCAGTGACCCCGCGACACTGATGACCTCCAGCAACGCGTCGCTGCTCGGGGTCCACGCGTCACTGCTCGGGATCAACGCGTCGCTGCTCGGGGTCAACAGTTCGCTGCTGGAGGTCAACAGGTCGCAGCTCAGTGTCAGCGAACTGCTGCCAGAGGTCAACGCATCGACATGTCTGGCGTATCAAAGGTCACACGAGGTCACACCGCTGTGGGACTCAGCTTTGCTTCACGACTGCGTCTGCCTGCACGACGACATCACGCCGCTGGAGTACCGCACGTGGCACTGCTTCGAAACGCCGCCAGACCTGCCGTTCCTGACCGTCGCCTGGGTCGGCTACTCGATCCTCTTCGTCGCCGGCCTCACCGGCAACACCCTCGTCTGCTACGTCGTCTTTTCCGCGACGCGCATGCGCACCGTCACCAACATCCTTATCGCCAACATGGCGGCCGGCGACCTGCTCATTGCCTGCCTCTGCATGCCCTTCACGTTCCTCCACCTGGTCGTGTTCGGCTTCTGGCCCTTCGGGGACGCGCTCTGTCGCGGCGTGTCCTTCGCGCAGGCGGTCTCTGTCTTCGTGTCGGCGTACACGCTCGTGGCCATCTCTGCAGACCGCTACACGGCCATCGTGCACCCGCTGGTGTCGCGCGGCTCGCGGCGCAGGACGCGCATCGTGCTGCTGGCCGTGTGGATGTTGGCCCTCTCCACCTGCGTGCCTATCGCCGTCACGTCCCGCGCGGACGTGCCAGAGGCGGAGCGCCACTTCGCCATGCACGAGCACTGCGTCTGCCAGGAGGTGGGTACGTGGCGCACGTGGCGGCTAGGGGTGGGCGCGGGCCTCAGATGAGGGCGGTGAGTGGTGGTGGCGCTGGGGGAGAGGCGGATCAGGGGGGCACAGAAAGGCCCTCAGCAGGGGAGTCTGATAGTAATGGCAGGGAAAGTGCGCCCGCCTTTACGAGTTATCCACGACATCGTACCTTTCGCTTCCTTGCCTCCCTCTTTCAACCTGGTGGGAGCAAAATGACACCAACAACAAACGACCACCAACGGCTATTTTTTATCCTGACCTGGAACATACAGCGTGATGTGTGAACATAACGTCTTATGGCTCATTTATGCAGCGTAACGGGCATCCAACTCATTGTAGCATGCTGTCCGTAAGGCTCACTGCTCACAGATGCTACAACCAGCAGCCCTGTAAGCTGTGAATATGGTTGTCGTGCGGAGCTATGCGAACAGTACAGCTACGTTTGATCGATTCCAGGCGATGTTTCCCCGTGAGGCAATGACCCTGACCTCCTGACCACGGGTGAGCACAGGTGCTCTGCCAACAGGTGTTGGAAGCGACGAGACAACAGACCTTGACCGCATAAGCCCTGGCGCTGTGCCGACAGGTGTGGGAAGGGGACGGGACTACAGATCCTGACCTCCTGACCCCGGTGCTGTGCCGACAGGTGTCGGAGGCGACGAGACAACAGACCCTGACCTTCCGACCCCCGTAGTCACACCGACTGGTGTGGCAGAGGACGGGACTACATTTCCTGACCTCCTGACCCCCGGCGCTGTGCCGGCAGGTGTGGGAGGGGAACGGGCGGCGCTACTACACGGTGGTGGTGATGTTGCTGCAGTACTTCCTGCCGGTGACCGTGCTGGCCGTGACGTACGGCAGGATCGCGCTGGAAGTGTGGGGTCGTAGCTCGCCCTTCATCAGGAGTCAGGATGTCAGGGAGATCAGGCTGGCGCGCGCCAAGCGGAAGGTGAGCACGCACGCTTGGAGGGCTCGCCAAGCGGAAGGTGAGCACGCACGCTTGAAGGGCTCGCCAAGCGGAAGGTGAGCACGCACGCTTGGGGGGCTCGCCAAGCGGAAGGTGAGCACGCACGCCTGGAGGGCTCGCTAAGCGGAAGGTGAGCACGCAAGCTTAGAGGGCTCGTCAAACGGAAGATGAGCGTGCACGCTTGGTGAGCCCGCGGCCAGTGGCATGGAGAACCATGGTGGTCGATGGTCGTCTCAGCGGGTATTAAAGCCATGCCAATGTCAATGTATTGACTAATGAGTCAATGTATTGATCGTTCGAAGATCCCGCACGCCGGCCGCTTCGCGGAGCATGACTGGTACTTCCCCCGAATAATTTATCATCTGATGTGTTGGAGTAAAATGCGTCTTGCGTTGTGAAGAAGTAAATACAAATAAACGGTAGAACGGTGATGGAGGTGATAAATTATATTAAGGAGGGCGTATAAGATATATCACGTTTTGTTAGCATGCATCTCTCTATCTATCTAACTATCTTTAAATATTTGTACCTCAAAGAAAGGTTTCACAATCATGCATACGGAGCAAAACTAGTCAAGTCAAAGTACACGCGATTTACCTTCAATGAGTGTCGTGGGGCGGTGAGAGGTACCGCAGCCTTCCAAGTTCATTCTTCACGACCTTCACCCTGGATTACTTTTCACTGGCATTGCGAACTTGTTGTCCGGCGATGTTATTAATGCCTTGAAGAAGTGAAAGTCAACACCGTGTTTGGTCGTGCCCTTGCTTCAGGCCTATAAATGGATCCAATTTCGTATACGGTGTGCTTCGAAGTCTGCACGACAGATGGCACTGACATCGTTCTTTGTTCGCGACTTTACCAGCAAAGAATGGATTTCTGCCCGAAATTGAAACGAGCTAGTGGTGGATGGAAATGCAAGCCAACAGACATCGCCGCTCGACTGATCAAACTCGTTTCATCCTCAGTTTGTGCCATGCAATCACGCGACAACCAGCAGTAATTCATCAGCGGAAAAGTTACCAGGGCCATCTGTATTCTGAGTGAAGTGAGGGTTTCGGCTTAGAGTCTGACCCAGAGTGAGCAGGGAGGAGGGCCTGGGTCCAGCCCATCATCAATCTCTCGCACAGCTGACTCAGAGAACTGCGGA